TCACAGCTCACAGCAACCTCCAGCTCTTGGGCTTATGCAATTCTCTTGCCTCAGACTCCAGAGTAGCTGGGACTACGGGCACCGGCCACAACACCCGGCTATTTTTTGTTGCAGTTTGGCTGGGGCTAGGTTAGAGCCTGCCACCCCTGGTATATGGGGCCAGCGCCCTACTCTCTGAGCCACAGGCGCAGCCCTACAAATGATTTTTCAAAAGCCCTAAAGCAGAAATAAAATACCTAGTCTCCTGTGGCTCCTCCTTTTCCTCATTACCCCATATACATATTCACATTTTTAGCTCATCTGTTCAAGAATTGCTAGTGAGAAAACTCACTTAAAGAACCACAGATGACAGAGAGGCACCACTAAAGCCGTCCGTGGTCTGAGAGCTCCACGTGGCACCGCGCATGCTGGCTCTGCCCAGGACCACAGCCTGGTAGTTCTTTATCTCTGGGAATAATTTGAGAACTATTTCTCGCCTGCTCTGGAGGAAATGTTATATCCTGGCTGTCCTCTGCCTCTGAACAACTCATTTCTACCTGGTCCCTAATCCCTGCATCTGAGTTACCTCCAGGATTCATGCTGTGAGTGGGAACTCAGTAGAGGCTTGACTTCCAGTATTGATCATACACATGTATCACTCCCACATTTTCTACACTGTGATCTCCAATCAGGGAACCTCCTATGCTTTGACCGGTGCTCAGGGACCTTCCTACATGGTGACACACAATCAGGGACCCTCCTGTGCTGTGAACTGTGATCAGGGACCTTATTGCATGGTAACCTATGATCAGCAACCCTCCTATAACATGTGATCAAGGATCCTAATGTTCTGTGACCTGCAGTGAGGAACCCTCCTGTGCTGTGACCTGCAATCAAGGACTCTCATGTACTGTCACCTGCAATCATGGACCCTCCTATGCTCTCATGTAATGTGTCCTGTAATCAGGGACCCTCCTGTGAGGTGATCTGTGATCAGGGACCTTCCTGTGCTGTATCTGTGATCAGGGATCTTACTACATGGTGATCTGTGATTAGGGACCTTCCTGCATGGTGGTCTGTGATCAGAGACCCTCCTGTGTAGAGACCTGTGGTTCTAGGCCACGCTGGAAGTCTGGCCTTTGTTGGGAATTGGCCAGTGTCATGATAAGGATTACTTACGGGCCTAAGGTTCTCATGTAGTTTATGCCCAGCTGAATGGCCTTGTGGGTGCAGGCCATGGTGATCTCGTGGTCATGTGCTGCGTGGGCAAAGTGGGCCAGTCGCGTCAGGGTCTGCAGCTCCACCAGGGGTTCCGGCCAGTTGCACTCGGAGGCCATTTTCACCAGCTTCCAAGCAGTAGGAAAGGAGCCCAGCATTAGTGATGGCGGGTTCCTGACTGCCTGGACCTGCATGGCTACTCTGGGAGCCTGGGTGCTCTCTGTCAAGCCTCATAGACATGCACTATTTAGTCTGTTATTGCAAACAGAGGTGTGGAACCTCCTGTATCTTGAAATGCCAGAGCTGAGCTACAGCAAGGGCCATGATGCTCTGAGGTCCAGTGCTTCTACCCTACTTGGGGCATCATGGGGCAAGGCACATGGGGCCCCTGTGCTGCCAAGACCTGCCCAGACCTTCTGAGGGGGCTGTCCTCCTGCAAGATGAGGGGCTGAGAGGGAGGGGGCAGTGTGGGAGCCAGGATCTGTCTGCACTCTGGGCTTCCAATGAGCCCAGGACAGCCGATGCCACTCACTTGAGCCAGGGGTGGGACACTGAAGTCCATGAGGCCCAGCCCATTGCAGGAGTACATCTCCAGTGCCACAAGAACCCTGGTCACGCAGCTGGAGTCATCACTGGATCCCTGTGGGGAGGGAAGCACCAAGGTTTGCCCCACTTAAGGGTGCTGGGATGAAGGCTGCAGGGAAGTTTGAAGAGCCATGAAATTTAACTCTGTGAAATATTAGTTTAACAGCAGTAATCTGACCACACAATGTGGAGCATTTACACCTTAGGCTATTTGTGTAAATATCTGCCTCCACGGTGCCATCTCAGGCCATAAAAATTCCTCGAGGCTCTGCTACCCCAGAGCAGACAGCAATGTCATCTGATAGCCAGGGGACCCCTGCCACAAAGAAGACAGGTGGCCCACGTGTGGGGGCTACCCAGGGCAGGTGGGATGATACTCGCCACCTCTTTGCCTCTGTGGCTCCCTCCCTACTTCACACTCCTGGCCAGGCTCAGAGGCCCTCCCCTAGACCGTCCCTGACAACCCCACTCTGGTTTGGGCACTGACTGTCCAGCACACCCACTGTCTGTGCCCCTCAGCTTTCCCTACAGGCACCAAGGGCTAGTGGGCCAGCCCTGAGCCCTCTCCTCCCAGGGCCCTCTTCCCCAGCCTCCTGCCCAAAAGCCCTTCGTGTTTACAGCTGGGGAGACCTGGTTCTGCTAACAAGGTTCTGGCCTAAACCTTCAGACAAGGCCTCAATAAGTGGCCCAGGGTGGGGCAGCATCCCAGTCTGGAACCTCCTGAATGGTCAGATAGAGGAGGCCTCACGCCCAGTCTCAAGGGTAGCTGGGGCAGCAAGTTCAGTATAAAAAGAGCCCCCCAGCCGCCTTGATGATGCTGTGAAGAACTGAAGTGAAGTGGCAGGGAACCCCCTTCAAGCCCCCAGCCTGTCTCAGGCGTGTCCACCATTCTGCGGTCAGAGCCCTGGGTACAAGGTACAGGGGTGCTATACCCACCTACCAGCCTGCACCTGCACCCACCCTGCCTACCTGCTCCTCTGTGCCCAGCCGTGGCCCAATCTGCTGCTGTAACAGCTGCTTGGCCTTCACCCAGGTGGCGATGAGCTGCTGCCGGGCGCTGGTGGGGACTACCTCGTCAGGCACACTCCCACCAGTCAGGTTCAGGGCAAACTCACAGATCTAGGATGGGTGTGTCCTCAGTTATGAAATCTGAATTCTACATGGGGGACTCAACCAAGATCCAAATCACGAAAACATGAGCAGACCCAGCCCTTGGTTCAGACTGTGAAGGAAGTTTAAACACACACCCGTCCTCATGCCTGATGAAGGGTCTGAGGCAAGGCTAGCAGGTGCCCCTCAGAACTGGAGAAGCCCTGACACTTAGCTGAGGACACAACCACACACCCAGCAAGGCAAAGTCAGGGGGAGGAGGAAGGGGGGAGGGGCAGAAAGAGAAGGGGGAGGGGAGGGAGAGTAGTAGGGGAGGAGAGAGACAGGGAGAGGGGCAGGGGCAGTCATCCTCATGGTACTGGCAGGCTCCAGCCAGCCCCTGGCTGCGCCCCACCCCAGGTGTGCTCCTGTCCAGCAGATATGGAGTACACCCCCCTACCCCATCCCCAAGGCCAGAAAGCGCCTAGTGTCCCCAGTGGGTAAGCAGTGAGGGGGAGCTCACACACTGAGCTGGCCTCTGCCCCTGGGGCTGGTGTTAGTTCTGGAGGACTGGATCTGCCATGTGTTTTGCGCCCAGAGATGGGGACGTGTGAGCTGATGCCCTAGGATGGGGGCTGTGCCTCAGCTCCCTCCCTGAGTGCCAAGTGTTCAGGGCACGTGTCTCCCATCTGTGCCCCAGTTCCCTCCTCTTTAAGTGGGGATGAGATCAGGACATGGGTCATGTGAGGCCCATTGAGGCCTGCTTAGAGCCTGGCCCAGAATGGACAGTGCTGGCCACCAACGGTGATCACTCACTAACCAGACACATTCCCTCTCTCACTGTTTTTTCCCCACTAAAGTATAAGGTGAATACCTGTTCCCTGCAACACGTTCAGGCAGGTAGAAGTCCCAGAGCAAGACGCCCTGCCCAACCCTCCACCTCCTTCTAGATGTGGGTCAAGCCTGGGCTACACGGACTCTGCACACTGACCGTGGTGCCACTTCACCCCACAGGTTCAGAGCAGCTGCCTGCTCTGGCTCCCATGCTCCACAGAGCTGTCCTCAGCTGTGAGGACGACTTTTGCCATGCCCTCTTCTTCCCTGCCAAGCCCACCTGTCACTGACGGTTTTGTTCTACGTTCTCTTGAAGCACCAGCTCAGTCTTTTTCATGCCTGGATCCAGGATGCAAGCCACCCTGACGCTCAGCCACCCCCTCTTTGAGCCTCTGAGAATGAAGCCCTAACCCTGACATGGCCACTCCCTGGGTCCCTTGTGTTGAACCTCACACCTGTTCAACCATCCTTGCCTGGGCCTGAGGCAGAAGGGCCTTCACCACCCTGGCTCTGGTCCTCACAGTGAGTGCTCAAAGCATTTCTTAAACTCAGTGAGAAACCTGATTTTCTTCCAGGTTTCACAGGATTCTTCTGAGTTAGAAATGGGTGATGAACCATTAAACATTTTACAACATCCATCCCATCAACAGGAACTTTTTTCTCCTCTATTTTGGACTACTACAACAAACACACATTCATTAAATTCCATAGGACAGTGATCCTCTGAGGCCCTCCAGATCCTTCCACACACTTGAGACATGGTCTGCCAGTTTACTGGGGTCACTGATTCATGGGGCCAGGTCTGTGTTTCTCTCAGTTTGCTCTACCCTGGCACGACGTGCCTGGCCTTGCCCTGTTGCCTCCATTCAGCCACAGTTTGGAGCTTCCCAGTTCTGCTGGAAGCCCCAGAGCTCTATGCCATGGGGTGGCCCTCCCCTTCTCCCTCTCCTGGCCCTACCTCCACAGCTGCTTTGATCTCAGCGCTGCTTCCCACATCCATGGGGGTATGGAAGATATTTGATCGTGCCATTTTTTTTCCCTTCTCCGCTGTCTGCGTCTGGGTTGGGATCCAGGTGATAATCAGGCCACGGGCCAGGGTGTCACAGAGCATGGCCACCATCGAAGGGTCCCTAGAGAGTGTGTGCTGGAGATGAGGCAAGCCCCTCCTTGGGCCCAGGCTCATGTGCACTCCTGTGGGGTGTCACACCATGGCCTTGGGTCCGAAGAGATGGGCTAGGGAAGACCAAGTATGCATGGCTGTGTGACTCGCCTCAGGAACTGAGCAGGGAAGGGGGTTTAGGACCTTCTTGGGCCTCTCTGGGAAGAGCAGGTCAAAGGCCCTGCTGCTGGAGTGGTTCTGTCTCCTCCCACGGGGGCTGCACGCTGAGGTGAGAGTTGCACTCTCACTGGACTGGCCAGAGTATCCCTGAGGAACTGACCAAGGGCAGAAAGGCCATGGCATCTGCTGTCAGGATATCTGAGAGGCCATGCGGGGGTGAGGGGGGTCGAAGCCTTTACATCCACTGGCTGGTCAAACAGGTCTACACCAGGACCTCATGTTTCTCACTGGAAACACGCTAGCACCAGAACACTTAAAATCGTCAAAAATGGTCACCATGTGCCAAGAAGCGGAGCTCTGGTGTCTGGCCTTTGCCTACAACAGAAGCATGCAGCACCTGGGCTGTAAGCAGAGGTGCTCTGCAGGATCTGGTGCTGACGGCCATGCCGAGTCCCAGGGCTCCCTCTGCTGGGGGACTCAGGCAGGCCCCGGGGTCTCTGTGGGGGCCTCATGTCCAGGAAGAGTGCCCCCAGCAGGAACTTATGTCACAGTCTGTCATCTTTGTTATGCATAATTAAAAAATCATAATATGTGTGTGCTGCTGCGCTCTGATTCTTTCTATCATTCCTATTTCAGTATCTGGTGAAAAAAATTAAAATCCTAGTGTTTAGACTAAAAACCAAACCAACAAAAAATACAGAGTCTTTTTGTCTCAGTTAGATAAAACCTTGACCCCACTTGATGTTTTCAAATTTCTAATTTTAGCTAGGGAAAACAGCAGTTTCTCACAAGTTCACATCTATCTGGCTAAAGAAAAATAGATTTTTTTAAACCTCCCCCCCCAAAAAAAAACCCTACAAAGCTAGAACGAGACTTTTATGCAGAGTCACTCTTCCCTACCATTTTCCTGAGTGATCTGGACTTCAGACAAACCTTTCTCACAGCCCGTGCCTGTAGCCCATGGGCAGAGTGGTGGCTCCACTGTGGCTTTTGGCCTCACCAGTGCCAGGGTAGGCCCGGTACCCCCCTGACCACACAGGCCTCCTGGGCTCAGACATGAACGACTGGCTAATAGGTGCACAGTGCAGGACAGAGGCCTGGGGATGGTCCTGCTGGTTTCTCTGTGGCTCCCTTCACTCCTGCAGTGAACATGGAGAACTGCAGGCCTCTCTGAGAGGCAGGACCAAGCTCCCTGCCTCCCCCAGCTGTGGACATGGCTTGGCGCAGCCCCCACACACCCGCTGTAATCCATATCCTTGACGATGCTCAAGAGGTGGTATAAGCTGTCTATGAGCTCCCTTTGCCGCCCGGCCAGGATGAGGTGGTAGTTGTGGTTCAGGACGTAGACAATCGAGTTCTGCACGATCCAGGGCTCCTGTATCTCCTGCCCAATCTCTGCAGAGCGCAGCCAGTTATTCATGGCATACTGGGATAGGCTCTCAATCCAGCTTCTGTAAAACACACACCAGGTCCATCAATGTGGTGATGTTAAAAAAAAAAAAACTACACACACACACACACACAGGAAGCTCTTGGTTTCAAACAAAATCTCCCCCACACAAGGCTTCAGGGAAGTGAGTGCAGGGTCGTCCACAGCTCACAGCACTCTGTGGAGCCCAGGGAGCTATCCCGCCTGAGGCTGAGCTCCCCATCCACACCCAGCCCCCTTGGCGCTCCCACCTCAAGCATCCTGGGCCCAGCCCTGCTCTGCCCATTCCTTCTGTCCCACCTGCCCCAGTCTGTCCTCAAGCCCCTTGGACACCTGCGGTCATCCCTGCCTGCTCTGTGTGGCCTGAGCTCCCACCCTGCTCTCACCTGCAAACCTGCTCAGCCCTCCCAGCCGAGGCTCTGCCCAGTCTTCCTGCACCCACCCCTCCACCTCCCGTGGCCTATGGCCCATCACATGCAGGCTGCCCTTCCTCAGGGAACCCTTGTCAGCACCATGCAGGTGCAGCTGGTGTCTTTCTGCCCTTGGTAAAGGCACAGGTGTAATTTGGGCTTTGTGAGCCCTGTGGTCTCTGCTGCACATCTTCTCCATTTCATCTTGCACATTTTTAAAATATCAAAGCTACTCTCAGCTGGTGGGCTAAACAAGCACAGCCTGGCCTAGTTCTCAGAACCTTATCTGTCCATTTGCAGAACAGCCAGAGGGGAGAGTGGGAACCCTTGCTCCAGCCAAGAGCCTGGACCCAGGCAAGTGTTCCTGCACTGTGGCTCACAGGACACTGGGCCCTCCGGCAGGGAGCTGAGGCCTGAGAGCAGCTGATGGACAGATTATCTTGAAGTGCCAGCCTGTATGCACTGAGTAACTGCTGCTGCAGTTAACTGCTCCCTTCTCCTCCATCCTCCTCCCTCCTCCTCCCCCCACCTCCC